TTGTGGTTTATTAATATATTATAAGTATAATATATTAACTGAGAAATCACATTATTTAATTAGTATTGATCAAGAATTAATTTCCAATTAATTTAGTGATCATAAGAGACTGATTATATATATATATATATATATATATATATATATATATATATATATATATATATATATATATATATATGGGGACTGATTATGTAAATAATTAATACTTATAGTTGGGCTAAATGATCCATGGTTGGCTAGGGTGTGCTAAAAAAATGTGATACTCCATAAAGATTTAACCCATGTAACCCATGATATATGAAGAGTCATGTGAATTAGGGTTTGCATGGATGTAATCCTAGACTTTACCACACTATAAAAGGACCCCCCATATTTACCAAAATTAGCCCCAAGCATTTCCAAGAAGAACACAACTGATTTTGAGCATCCTAGCCACTTCTCATAAGCCTCCTTTTGCACTTGGTGTTTGTGACACATTAAAGGCATCACATTTTAGGTGCTAAAGCTTTTGAAGGCCAAGAACTCCAAGCTACACTAAGAGGTATTCATCTACTTTGGTTTTATGTTGTATATCTCAAAGTTTTGTATGCTAGTGTAGGCTTCATGCTTTGGAAACAATATCGTATGTGTAATAGTGAAAACTTAGATCCAAAGCATCTAGGGTTGCATGTGCACTATAAGGGTGTTATAGTGCCCAAAACCCAACAAATGGTTCTTGGAGATATCGAGTTTTGTTGAGATATTAGGGTGTATTTATCCGGACTTTTAAGATGTGTGTACGCTAGGTCGGCTGGTCATGAAATGTGAATTCTTGCAAAATAATCTTGTTCTAGAGAGAGTTGATGTTGTTCCAGAGATGACATTTGGTAAAAATAATCTTGTTCCGGAGAGAGTTGATGTTACCTTGACTGATTCTGGTAATGAAGATGAAGTTCTATGCAATGCAGAAAGTGTTGAAGTTCCTCAAAATGTTTATACTTCCAAGGATAATAAGCCCATGTTGTAGGAAGTGGACATAGATGGTGTATCAGAGAGTAAAAACGTGGGGGGGTTCAAAGAAATGGGTGTGTAAGCACTGCCGTCAGATGTTTACTAGCGCTTATACTAGAATTCATGTACACTTTTTGGGTGCTACAAACAGGAAAGCACCATAAATCAAAAAGTGTCTTGCTATACTTAAGGATCGGGTTAAATATCACAGCTTGTTAAACAGAGTGAATGCTGATGAATCAAAATGTGTTTCTAACTCTTTGAAGAACTTTATAATTAATAAAAAAAATAGATTTATACTTCTAAATCTAAAAACCACTCAAAGATTCTTTAGGTATGATGGAAAGAAACATAGTTTATACGAAAATTATGAGAGCACTATGTACTAATGGCATTCCTTTTAATGTTCTATGTAATCCTCAGTTTCAAGAGATGATCACAGCCATACACAGGGCACATGTTGGTTACAAGGATCCTTCATACGATAAGGCTCGAACCGTTTTGCTTGACGAGTGTGTGAGAGATGTGGAAAAGGGTTGACTTTATTGAAGGATACATAGTATACAAGGGGGTTTCTATTGTTTCAGATGGCTGGTCTAATGTTAAACATCGACCATTAATCAATGTTATTGCCGACAACAACCATGGTCCCATGTTTATGTATGCATATGACTTTTCTGGTGTAGAGAAGACAGGAGCAGTATTTGCAAACTTCTTGCTTGGTGTCATTGAAACCGTAGGACCAAGTAATGTTTTTCAAGTTGTAACCGACAATGCAACAAACTATAAGGCTGTTGGAAAGGAGGTGGAGAAGGTATATAAACACATTTTCTGATCCCCTTTATGTGTCTATACTTTGAATTTAATTTTTAAAGATCTTGCAATCGAATGTTTTTGGCTAATGGACACATATAGGACAAGGAAAATAATTGTTAAGTAAATTTCTTAATCACACCCATGCATTGGCTATTTTTAGAGATAATTCATAACTAGAATTGTTAAAAGTAGCCAAAACAAGATTTTCGGCTCATTATATTTTGCTCAAAAGGTTATGGGATTGTAGAGAGTCTCTTTCTACTATAATTGTCCTTAATTCATAAAGAGAGTGACTGAAAAATAGTAATGAAAACACTAGATAAAATGGATTATTAGTTATTGATACAATTAAAAGTAAAGACTTTTGGGATGATGTGGAAAGTGTTCTTGTTGTCACAAAACCAATATACTTGATGGTTAAATTTTGTGATGGTGAAGGATCAGAGATAGGAAAAATATATGAGAAAATGGATAACTTGCTATGAGAGATTAAGGATGTCATGATGAATCATCGTTATGTTGACCCTCGAGTGGAGAATATTATACTAGCAAGATGGGAGGAGATGACAATCTCCTTGCATTGTTTAGGATTTTCATTATCTCGACGATTTTATGATAAAAAATATCTTAAGGAGATGGCACCATGTAGAGTTCATAAGAAAGCTCCAAATATTGATAAGGAGATTATGGTTGGTGTAATGGAATCTTGTAAGAGGATCGCAAAAAATGGAGAAGACGAGTGAGTGTCTTCTACATGAGCAATTCACTCCTTTTCACATGAAAAAAGGTCTTTCTGCATTGGCGGGAGCTCACATGGATGCGGTGACCATGGATGCTATTGATTGGTGGTGAAGTTACCGGTCAGAAATGCCTGAACTTGCTATTATAGCAAAGAAAGTTTTATCACAACCTATTAGTAGTTCATCAGCCGAGAGAAACCGAAATATGTACGCTTACATATATAATGTCAAGAGAAATCTTTTGAACTCCAAAAAGGTTGATAAATTGGTTTTTATACATTCAAATATTTGTCTCCAATCGAGTTTCTCCGATAGTTACACATCAGGACCACACAAGAAGTGGGATGTAAATCCTGAAAGCACAAACTTGGAAGAATCAAGTACAAGACTTGAAGAAATGAAATGGGAAAATCTGGAAGATGTTTAGAGAGTAGCTGATGATGGGAATGAAAATAGACAAAGGAAAAGGTAAACTTGGTCAACTTTTGACATGAATTATGAAGTTATTTTGTTTTAAACTTTGAAGTTATTTTAGTTTTATTTGGTATTGATGTTATTTTGTTACTTTTGTATTGAACTTTTGAAGTATGAATTGAAGTATTGATCTTGTGGTGTTTAGTATACTTTTTATATTTATAGTATCATATATTTTAGCAATATATGGTACATCGCATTACATTACATGGTACACCATTCTATATATCGAAATAGCATTTCGGAGAAGACTACCCCCCGCCCCCTCCGCCCCCCTCATATCGAATTTTACAGATTACTGATTATTTGCCCGTTTTCATTCCACGTACTGGAATGATCTGTTTCCGTGTAACTATGGTCACAACCTTAGAGTCCTACATGTAATTGTCTACGTAAACATTCTTGTTATTTGTCCAACATATTTTGTTATACATTTAACCGTAAACTCAATTATTTGCTTAAATGTAAAACAATTAAATACAAATAAAACGATTTTAGTAACATATTATACATTTATAATAGGGTAAATGGTACAAAAAACACTCTTTTTACACAGAAATTCGATTTTGACACCGTGTTTTTTTTGTGTCAATTTTGACACTGTTTTCCAGTTTGTTACAATTCTAACCACTTGACCGGTTAACCAGGTTACATGCTGACGTGGCATGATGACGTGTCAGTTTTTGATGACGTGACATGCTGACATGATATGCTGACGTGTCAAAATTGATTTTTTTTCCACAAAAAATACTAAGTTTTTACTTTTTTTCGATTTTGACACTAAGTTTAACTTTTTATTTCAATTTTAACACTATGTTTTTTTTGTTCCAATTGAATATCATTTATCAAATTTTGTTCAATTTTGTCTATTTTCCATTTGAAACCGTATAAATATATTTTTTTATTACATTTTAAACCGTATAAACATATTTTTTTCGTTTAAAAACCACATTTTTATTTAAATACAAAGTGTTTTTTTTCTTACATTCAAAGCATTAGTTATATCATGAGAATCAAATCAACCATAAGCTTCTAATAAGATGTAAAAATTTGATGGGTTGCAAATTTGATATCTGAGTTTTGATCGACTACATGCCTATAAACCTCCAAAAACATTTTAAAGTTGCATATTTAATATAAAATACAATTTTTATATAACTAATACATATTTATATATAAGAATATGGTTTGAGTGTAAAAAATGTATTTATACAAAACTATGGTTTTTAAATGAAAAAAAAAAATTATACGGTTTAAATGTATTAAAAAAATATTTATACGGTTTCAAATAGAAAATTGTCAACATTGAACGAAATTGGAAAAAATGATGTTGGATTTGAAACAAAAAAACATAGTGTCAAAGTTGAAAGAAAAAATTAAACTTAGTGTCAAAATCGGAAAAAATGAAAACTTAGTGTTTTTTGTGAGAAAAAAAAATCAATTTTGACACGTCAGCATATAATGTCAGCATTCCACGTCATCAAAACTGACACGTCATCATATCACGTCAGCATATAACCTGGTCAACCGGTCAGAATTGTAACAAATTGGAAAACACAGTGTCAAAATTGACATAAAAAATAACACGGTATCAAAATCGAATTTCTGTGTAAAAACAGTGTTTTTTGTGTAATTTACTCTTTATAATATTGTAAGTACATTACATGCAATATCACGTAAATTAGAATCTAAAATTATCAGATTTATTGTTAAAATAATTTAAGAAAATGTTGTTTACTAAGATGACGTGCTAGCAAAGAGGGTAACCGTTTTCTTAGGAAGGGAAGATACCAAATTGGAAAGAAATAAGGAACCACACAACCTTCAATCCTTTCAAGATCTAAAATAAAGGGCTTTCAAGCATTTCAAAGGAACCCCTTTAATTGAGGATACTATTTATCTCTATAAATCAAATACTCAAATCCTAATAATGTCAACACAAAGAACTCACTTTTGTATATTTCATTTTTTGCAAATATGAGTGTTGCTTTTATTGATGGTCCGATGTTGACAAAATTTGTCGATGATTCAGCAGCTTTTGAAAAATGCATAAAGGAACGATTTGACATGCTAGATGTAAACAAAGATGGTGTTCTATCACGTAATGAACTTCATAATGACATCAATGATGTATCTTCAGTGGAATCCGCATTGCAATCTAAAGAAGAGGTTAATAATCTATATGATGTATTATTTGAGAAATTTGATACTGAAAAGAAAGGCACACTTGATATTAAGCAATTTAATTCGTTAATGAAGGAAGTCATGATAGCTAAGGCTCATGGTTTTGGCAATACTCCGGTATGCATTATTCTTCAGACCGATAGCTTGCTTCAGAAAGTTGTATAACATCAATACATAAAATTGATAACATTGTTTCAAGATGGATTGTCTCAAAGGCTAAGCATATATAGAAATGTCTTATATATTTTTTTTGTCTTCTTTTTATTATTAAATGAAGTTGCAAACCACTGCCATTTGGCAATGAATGCTATTGTAAGTATGATACTGTGGTATATGTATATTTTGGATGGTCGATACATGTTTTTTATGATCCTAGACATGTAATCTTAGAAATCAGTAGAATTCATTTTATACGTCGGTGACATTATTTCTTTCTCATGTTACATATAGGTTGATCTGATGAAATTTTCTAACTTTTAACTTTCAAAAAAACTCATTAAAAAAAATCTTTGTTTGTATTGGAGATAAATCATGACCTAAATTAGATTTATTAAATTAGTCAAAGCTGTATCTATTTTCCTTGTATAGCTCTGATTTTACTATTGTATCTTTGTATTTATACCTCTTCCTTGTTCAATAATAACATTGAGAAAAAGATTATTAAAGTCTAATATGGTATCAACCAAACTTTTGATCCTCTCTTTCTCGTAACCCTATTCCAGCAGTCCCCTTTATTTTCTTTCTTTTTTTTTTTTCTTTTTTTCCTTCTTCTTCTCGCCAAATTCTTCATCAACTATGTCTACTTCAACAGATTCTTTACTTACTATGAACACCATCATTCATATGCTTACAATCAAGTTAAACTCTTCCAACTATCTCCTCCGTCAAAATCAAATCAACCCACTGATGCTCCATCAAAATTGGATGCGCTTCATTGATGGCTCGTATCCTGTTCCTCCAAAAACAACTCTTATCAAAGGCAAAGAAACTCAAAATCCCGCCAATGTCTCATGGGTTGAAATCGATCAGAAAGTGCTTCTCATCCTCCAATCTTCGTTGTCTGAAGAAGCAATGGCTGAAGTGTTTGGTTTCTCTTCCTCTCGTGAAGTATGGAAAGGGTACTCTCTCTATTTCTGATTTTGCTAAACAATTTAAGTCCGTTTGTGATAAACTTGCAGCTATTAGACAACCTGTTCCAGTTATGGTCAAATGTCATTGGTTTTTTTGTGGCTTAGGGGCATCCTTAGAAACTTGTTTTACTGCACAAAGGGTTGTTCAACCAAGACCTTTTGTTTGATGATCTTATTACTCAGGTTGATGGACACGAACTGTTTGTCTCCTCTCTCCATGGTTCTTGTCCTTCCTGCTTTTATAGCCCATCGAGTTTCTCAGCAGTCCTATTGTGGACAAGGCAGGGCTAGTCGGTCTCAAAATCGTGGGAATTCTTCCTCTCGGGGCTGAGGTCGACGACCCCCTCATTGCCAACTATTCGTCATGAGGGCCACTACACAGCATCTTGTCCATACTTTGGTAACTATGCTCAAAAGTCTTCTTATTCGGCTACAAACTTGGCTCAACCTTTCAGTGCCAAATGCAAAATAAATGACTCCACTTCAGATTGTTATGTAGACTCTAGTGCTACATCCCATGTGGATCCATCAGGAGATGTTGACTCATTTGTTCCTTAGCATGGACATGAGAAAGTTAATAGTTTAAGTTTTTAGTTTTTATTTTAAACAAAAAAACTTAGAATCCAAAAACTACTTGAGCAAGTAACTTTTCAAAGTTTTTAGCTTTTGATTTCTATCTAATTTACATAAGTATTTTATCCAAAACTCTTGCATTAATAAAAGTTACAACTTTCAACTACTAGTTACCAACTATTTTTCTGAAACACACAATTAAAACTTCTTAATATTGTTATCAATTGCAACAATTCAATAAACACTCAAATAAACGATCCAAACACCCCTAAGGGCCCTAAAAAATCAAAATTTTCTTACTAAAAGGGTTCTAGCCCAACGGTATCCGGTGTTGTCCTCCCTCCTTGAATTAAGGAATAGTTTAGGAGTAGAGTAAATTTTACCGTTCAAAAAAAATCAAATTTTTCTTGATAAAGAATTTCGATAAAAGGGATTTTTAATTCCTTGTCTTGATCGACAAAAGATTTTATCTCAAACAGTCAAATGTAGAAATTTATTGAATTTTTTTTAAAACTAAATAAAAATATCTTAGATGAACATTATCTTGTATATAATTAAATGTGTTGTATAAACTATTTTGGCTGCGTTCAACACTTCAGAAGGAAATTCTATCATGAAATTTGGAAAAGATTAGAGATCCATTCCTTCTTGGTTAGTCTAACATTAATGAAAACAAAAAATCAATTATTTTATATGGGAAAAAGGTCAGAACTCGAGTACTTTATGATAAGAGCCCGAGTACTTTAGGATAAGGTTGACCCATCTCCGGCTAAGAAGGCATGTCGGAGGAAGGATCGCCATACTTCGGTGTAGGGATGAAAGTGGGTCCAAACCTAGACCGAATGCACACAGACCCGGAAAGAACCAGTTAACAAGATTTTGTAGAACCGGAAACCAGACCGGAATCAGTTCTAGTTCGGTTCTAGGTACAATACCGGGTAAAGTAGTTTTAGAACTAGAAAACCGGAAAGCATCAGAGTGGGTAGGTTGGACTCGGATAAAGTGAGTTTAGAATAGGAAACCCGAAGAAAAAAAAAAAGCAGAATTGTTTGGTAATTACTTACTACTTAGTGGGTTGAACTTTAAAAATTTTCATAATGATATCCCGACTTCAGGGACTCTAATGTGCTATTTGTTTTTCTGAAGTAAAAATGCATGAAGTATGCGTACCACCTCTGTAACCTTCTACAGTAGAAGATGTGGACCAAACAGGTGCAAACTATAGTAGGAAGAGTGTTCGTTTTTTTAACATTTGCATGTTGTTGTAGATATTAAAAAATTAAAATAAACTGACTTTATAAATAGAAAATAATTTTTAATATTGAAAATTTAATAATGTATGATGTTTCGGCAAAAATTTATGATATTTTGGCAAAAAAAAAATAATGATATTTCAACAAAAAATAAAGATATTTTAGCAAAAAAAAAATAAATAATGAAATTTCATAAAGAAAATTATAATTATTCAATAAAAAATGAAAAAAAAATCAACAAGAATAAACAACAAAAAACGAAAAAAAGTGAAATAAGATTTCAGCAACATAAAATCAAGATTTCAACAAGAAAAAAGAAGAAGAAAATATTGGAAGAGTCAATACAAGTGTTACGCCAAACAGAACACGCGCAAAAGTTTTTTACTCCGAAGACTTCTAAAAAACAACTAGGAGATGAAGAATGGTGCGTGTGTGCTGTGTCACGCATCAATAAGAGGCTTGAAGAGGGTTTTTTCTAAAAAACAAACAGCACCTAATTCATTGAATATGAAACCAAATTGACAAAATTATAGTCTAAAATCATATACAAACTCTAAACTACACTCTGGAAAAACTGCATATAAATCCTATTTTAAACAAATGAGATATGCACGTGTTAACGTTTTCATAGAATTTAAAGTACAAAAACAAATAGTTGAAAATTTCCAGCTTTGATATACCAACTTCGGGTGACTATAAGTCATAATATTAAACCAAAAATGAAAAACGTATAGTCTAAAATCATGTACAAGCTCTAAAATGCAAGTTGGAAAAAACCGCATGTCAATCCGACTTCAAACGAATTAGATATGCATGTTTTAAAACTTTCACAAAAGGGAAAATGACATAAAAGCCCTTAAGTTTTCACAAAACTGTTAGTTTTACCCTTAGACGTGTTTTAGTTTCAGTAAAGCCCGAAGTTTTGTTTAATTTGTTTATTTTTATCCTTGTAGCCGGTTTTTAGGTAACCTACCGGTTACCTAATGTAAGTAAAGTCCTTAAATTTTCAAAAATGTTCGGATTTACCCTGAAGTTTTTCAAAAATGTTCGGATATACCCTTACCTTGATTTTTGTTTTTATTATTGTAGCACCTGGTTCCTGGTATGTAAATCTTATTTGAGTATTTTCCATTTTTAGCCTTGGACTCGGCGAGTCATAGGTCCAACTCGCCGAGTAGGGACGAGACCCAGGACACGTTTAAGTTGGCGACTCAGCGAGTCCATATCCTGGACTCGGCGAGTCACCGCTGTTGGATGAAACCCTAAGTTTCAGGGATTTGCACTCTATTTAAACCTCATATCCGCCCCTTACCAGCCCCCATTCACCCCTAGAGCTCCCAACCCTCGTTCTAATCTTGTTCCTTGAGAGTTTGAGGCTATTGTGTGTGTTCTTGAAGGCTTTGAGGCAAGAAGGGGAAGTAGATCAAGAGGAAGGAGAGCCATCCAAGCATCATTGTGTTTTTCAGCAGTTTCATTTAGGTATATCCCATTTTCCCCCTGTTTCTATGCTTAAGGTTTCATTTAAGACATTCTTGAGCCATTCCCCAAGCTAGTATGTGCATAATGTTTCGTAATATAGTTGATTGGCCTCTAGATCTAGGCAAGATTGAGCTCCAGGAGCTCAGATCTGTTAGCTTTATGGACCCATGTGGCTTGTTCACCGTAGATCTACCCTTTTGAGGCATTTTGAACCCTAAAATCCATATTTGTGAATATCTACACGTAAAGTTGGAAACTTTACGTGTGATTCGTGTCTTAGAAGCCCAAATCTATGAATGGCATGGACTGGAATCGAACAAATCGGTGTAATTAATGGATGCATGGCGACGACTAGGCGAGTCGTTCATGTGACTCAGCGAGTCTGCTCGCGAGCCACCGAATTTGTCCCTTTTTGTTGTATCGAGGTTGAGCAGTGAGTCACAGGGTGTGACTCGGTGAGTTGGAAGCTGAACTCACCCATGGTAGGACTCGGCGAGTCATGGCCTGGCTCGGCGAGTCCAAGGCAATCTTCATAGATCAAGAACAGACTCGGCGAGTTGTTCATACAACTCGGCGAGTCTAAGCATGAGTGTTCATCGGATGAAGATGAACTCGACGAGTTGTTCATACAACTCGGCGAGTAGGACGAAGAACTTCAATGTTAGTTTAGAAGAAGAACTCGTCGAGTCATAGCCTAACTCGACGAGTAGAATCAGGGACTCGGGACAAT